TAACGATAATAATAATAATAATAATAATAATGATAATAATAATAATGACTGTCATAGAAATATTAAATTATAACAATGCTTGTATTATTATTCTCATCAAAAAAATCATCTCTTATAAATTGCTATAAAATTTACATTAAGCAAATAATTTATAATCAAAAAGGAAAAAAAATGATAAAATTATAAATTTCACTGCAAATTATTGTTAGTTAGAGAAAATTAATGTTATATAAACGTTTTATATGTAAATATATTGATAATATTGACATTTAAACGTAATGTAATGCTTCGTTTAAAACAAAAGTTTAAATGATGAGGAATATCGCAATGCAACGATCAGCTTATGTTATAGTAAGTAACCTCAAGAGGATAAAAGTCTAACGTTGAAAAACGTCAAATATTTTAGATAACACTAAATGATATTATTATTATTATTATTATTATTATCAACATTAGTTCCCATCATTCTTTCATTCCATTGTTATATATTACTAAATTTATTCCTTATCATTCATTATTATAAATATCATTTTCTTTTTTTGTCACAAAATTTAATACTATTTTAATTTGTATTTTTCTTTATTCTCTATTATTTGTTAATAAATAATTGTATATCATAAATTAATTTTTATCTCTTTTTTAAATTAAAAAAGAAAATTTTTGAAAAATTATAAAACAACTGATAATGATAAATAAACTTTCTGCAATTTCACCATGCATTTTATCTTTGTAAAAATAAGATGGGAATTCAACGAAGAAAAGAAAAACAAATAATATATTTATTTTTAAACTTATAATGCTTACACACTAATTCTTACTTATCCAATCTTTTTTTCCTTTTTTTTCTTCTCTCCTCCAATTTTCATCACAATCATTTTTGTTACATTATTATTAGCATTATTATTATTAACATTATTATTATTATTATTATTATTATTATTATTATTATTATTATCGTTATTATTATTATTATTATTATTATTATTATTATTATTAACATTATTATTATTGTTATTATTATTATTATTATTGTTATTATTATTATTATTATTATCGTTATTATTATTGTTATTATTATTATTATTATTATCGTTATTATTATTATTATTTGTTATTCTTATTTATTATTATTAATTATAATTATTATTATTGGAAATTTAGTTTATTTATCAATTGTAAAATTATCAACATTTATCAGTGATTAGTTATAATTTGTATCATTTAAAACCTAACATTTTTCATTGTAACGTATAATTTTAACACGTTAACTAGTTTTAAACATCAAATAACGAAGAAAATATTTTGCAGTTTTTCAGTGCACAATTTTTGAACTTTTTTTTTGGGTGGTAGAAAAAATGAGAAATGTGTTGTATGTTATGTTATAAAAGAAACAATCATCAATAATTTGAAATGAAGAAGAAAATTAACTTTCATGATTTATCGATAGCTGTCATCATCATCGGCTCAAATATTATACAATATTTTTTGATGTTTATTTCTAATCAATTCTTTCTCTATTGTACTAACTTTATTCTACTTATTCCACTAATTCATTCCAATTTAATCATTCCACTAATTTAATCTAATTTAATCATTAATCATTCAATAATTTAATCAATTTAATCATTCCACTAATTTAATCATTTTAATCATTTAATTTAATCATTCCACTAAAAGATCTATTACTTAAGTTTAGACAGTATCTTCCACATAAAATGAAGTACAACAAAGTTGAAATTTTAAATTTTAATTTCAGTTGAGCAAATATGATGATTTTTTGTTTTCTTCGTTGTGAAAGAAATTCAACTAAAATGAACCGAAATGTGTAAAAAAAATTGAACTTCAAATGATGATGAGTGAGTGAGTGATAAGCATTTCAAAATGAAACTTTCCTTCGAATTATATATATCATTAAGCAATGGCAAAATGAACATCAATTTTTTTGCCTTTTCAACATAGCATAATATTACATTGACGTCATTCATAAATAAATAAATAAATAGCAATTTTATATTTTAATTTCGAATTTAAAAAGGAAAGCAAAAAAAGGAATTTGTAAGCATGTAAAATAAAATTTTGAATTTCTCAATATTAAATAGAATTGAGTGATCGATAGCCTTTATACTTTCATTTATAATATTTAATTAGAATTTTGTGTTATAGCAAAACTTTTTTTTTCTTTGTTTTTAAATTTATTTTTAAATAAAACAAAAAATTTGTTTTTATCCAAAAAATTATCTAAGAATTTTTCCGTTTTGTTGTTATTGTTGTTGTTGTTGTTGTTGTTATTGTTTTACTACAAAAATAATTCGCCGTTTAATCGGAAACCGGAAACTCAGTCCTAGAAATGTAATAAATACATATGGAAAAATTTTATGAAAAAAACTTCGAAAGGAATATAAATTTCATTCCTTTTACTGGTTGATATTCAGAGCTATTACTAAATACTTCACATAATCGATGAATGGACTTTAGTATATTCATTATGTCATTCATATCCGGCTTTTTGAAGCGAAAAATATCCCTGCAATTTTCTGAATCATTAGCTCCGAAAATTTGCTTCGTTAGATTAAAAATGCTAATTTTCAGAATTGATGTTTTATTTCATCTTCTGAGAAGTGAGATTGATGTGAAGAATTTTGAAACATTTTTCTTATTCGTCTTCTGAGAAATGAGATTGATGTAAAAAAAAAATTTAAAACACTTTTTCTTTTCCTATTCGTTTTCTAAATGTTAAATTTCATTTAAATTTTTGCAAAGTGAATAATTTTAGATTATATAAATGATTAATAAATTATAATGAATAATAAATTCTTCGCATTTAATTTTTTCTTTTCAATAAATATTAAATTTTTCGGATTAAATTACATAATATAATATAATGAATAATAAAATATTCGTATATCGATAATTAAATTTGTTGAAATTTCAATTTAATTCTAATTATGATTGCATAATTTGAAATTCCATTTTTTTTAAACAAAAAAAATAAAAATTTCAAAGAAATTCGGCTAATCTGCAAAATAACAATTTTGCCGTTTTTTTCATCGTCGCCGTCGTCTTCTTCTGCTTCTTCTTTAGTGGAAGCCTTATGATAGCAATAATTAATTGATATTTGCTAGAAAATATGAAAGAGGAAAACAAAAAAAAAAAAGAGAAGAATGCTATAAAAATTTATTCAAAAAGATTATTTACTATTTTAAACCGATAAATATTTAACTTAAAATAAGCACAATTATTATCTATTTTGATTGATACGAGGAAAAAACAATGGAAAGAAATGAACCATTTCAAAAGCATTCATTCATTCATTCATCAATTTCTTATAGCAAAATAGCATAAATAAAATAAATTTCAATGAAAAATCTTTTTTGATTTAGAAAAAAAAGAAATTAAAAATTTTAATTAAAATATATGCAAACCTGATGATTGCAACAACAGAGATATCGTAATAAATCCATCAATAAACTTTGCTATTTAAAATTATTCTTTATCGTTGATATGGATGACAAAAATAAAAGACGATATATTATGCTGGTAAGGAAATTAAGAAATGATTGGAAGGAATATTGGTTAGTTGGAAAGAATATATAATAAGTTATGAGTTTAGAAAATGGACAAGAGAGTAGGAAAAGCAATTAATGAGCTTAATCAAAAAAGCATTAGAGAGATCTTTAATAATTAGGTTATATGATGTGAAGAATTGTAAAGGGTAAGAGAGAGAGAGAGAGAGAGAGAGGGTAGAGGGATAAGGGTGAAAAGAATAAGAAGAAAGAGAAGAGGATTAATTGTAGAAGGGAAAAAATGGAAATAAATTTTAAGAATTGAGCAAAAAGGATTAATGTAGAAGAAGAAGGAATAAAAAGAAGTGGACAATATGAATCATCGATAGCTTATATATTTATTAGCTAATAATGCAAAAGGAGTGGACAGTTCAATGAATTGTTGGCTATCATATTGCATCTCCATATTTTCCATTTATTCCTATTTAGCATGCCACCAATCATTCAACTCTACAAAAAGTCATCAAACATCATAGCTAAAATTTAATGGACGAAATAATGAGCAACTGTCATTATAAATATCGATCGAATAGATAGATAGACATATGGGATGGATGGATAGGATATGCAAAGCTAGACTTGCTATCTCAACCATAAATGGACAATTAAACTCTCGTCTCATTTGGAGGAAATAAAAGGATGGAAATTTGATTTCTTAATATGAAACTATAAAATTAAAAAAAAAAAAATCATTACGATTGAGTTATTATTCATGAAACTTTTCAGAATGATTTTAAATTTGTACCATTTAGCGAATTTGATTGGAATCAACAGAATTGCTTCACCAATTTATTATGTTAAGGACCCCTCATTTGCATAAATCACAACCAGTTCGAACGTTGAAATATTTTAGCAAATCCAATAATCATATCTGTGGAACTACAACGCAACAATGGTAGAACTACATTTTAATTACACCAATCCATAAAAAGGGATCCTTGACCGTGAAATAAAAAGAGAAATTCATTACTTTTGAATTCCTACTTTCTAAAAAATAATAGTACAGTACGGAACATTATACGTAAACATCTTTATTGCATATGATACATTAAACATTGATTTTCACAAAGTTTTAGGCAATTACATTTACCTCCATATTAAGTTATTTGAATCTAACTAATCCTACCTGACTGGTGCATGAGTAACAATTTATTTGACCACAGAATTTAGCTTCAAATTCAAAGCAATCCCATTGTTTTGAGGTAAAACAGATTCGAAAGACAATAATCCATAACATTATAAAGCACCATAATTATTCGTAAACATCTTTCCTATCACAAATATACTGATAAATATCTCTTGGTGTTTTCATATTGTCAGAATCACCATCTGGAATTTCGAAATGAAATTCATCCTCGATTGCCATGATCACTTCCACAAAATCCAATGAATCCAATCCAAGATCTTTTCTAAAATCCGAATCAAGTGTCAGTTTCTTTGGATCAACCTGGAAAAATAAGTTTATTAAGTATTTTACTCCAATATCAATCTCCAATAACATAGCCCAAATTATTCCTTGATGTGGTGTGCAAATCTACTGAAATCAATAATAACGAGGTGAATTTGATTTAAATGCAAGCTCCTTTTCCAATTTTGCATTGAATTTCGGGTTTTAATGAAATGCAACAATGCATTGGTTGAAGATGTAGTCCATCTTAATGATGATATACACAAACATACCTTATCGTACAAACTCAGAACAAGCATAATTCGTTGTTCGACAACTTTCATCGTCAAATGCACGTGAGCAGCAAAACGCACCTTAAAAAGTTGAGGTGGAAAGAACGTTATAAAATAACAATGTAGTGCAAAATCAATGTAGCACAGTGGAGTACTATTTTTGCAACTGGAATTTAAATAGTGATTTTTACCCACAAAATGCTGATTTCTTAATATTTTGGGAACGGTCTTACTTGATCCAAACTGAATTTATTTTGCTGCAGGTATCCAGTGCAAATACTAGGCGTCTCCCCCGCCATTACAGCAGGTATCTTCCACGCTGCAACTGCGGCTGAACGAAGACTACCTCGTATCACTAATGCTCTTAGCATCACCTCAAAATTCAGTAAAATCAAATTCAAGTAACAAGGTCCGGCAATAAAACGACAGCACAAATACTCACGAATTGTATCTTAGAAGCTGAACTTCAACGATCTAATGTAACTTGAATCGATATACCTCATCTCAGAAATCGGCAGTTTGAGATGGATGAAAAAGATTGTAATATGCTAAGCATCTAGAAGAATCAATAGCATATATCCTCAAGTAATGTAATCTGCAATCTCCTAAATAATCCCGCTCAAGTTATTAGGAAATTCCACGGATTATTCGTTTTCTCGAAATAAAAGAACATCTAACAAGGACCAAAAACATTATGATATTATAAGCATGATCCTGAATTGCCGCTCATATCAACCAGCGTTCTTTATCAGAACAACGCGACAGATGAAATCAAAGCTTAATTTCGAAATAACAGTAAATAACAATAAGATTGCACTTTCAATGGTTGTAAGAGAGGAAAAAAAGATATGATGACAATTTTTATTCAAACAAACTATGATCAACTATTTTAAAACTATGGTTCGTCTTCGTGTCCATATTGTTCCAACATTTGTTCAGCGCATGATCCCTGTTCCAGGCGTTTCACGGCTGTTTTGCTGATACCATAAAAATGAACTAGAGCTGCTGCTATCACAAACATATGAAACAGTTGATGTGATTGTAACTGGAAAAAGTGAACAAAATTACTGAAATTCTCATTTCAGTAAAAACGAATTCCTCTTTATCGTATTTTGATCGTAAAAATTTTGCTGATGGATAAACAAGTATTCAGAATTCTCTTCTGGAAACGATTTTGTTAAAACAGACCCATAAATCAAATCTTCCAGGAAAACATTTTTCCGGTGTACGCGTAGCGTATAAAACAGCACCCGTTATATATAAAATACCCATTAATATAAACCAAAATAATGATGCTTCATTTAAGAGATACGAAATACCATCATTAATTAGTATGTCTAAAGCTGGCACAACACCTGAAAGAAAGCATAATATTAAAACTCTTGAATTAATAAGAAGCGCTAAAGAAACTGGGTCTATTTTTCGAATTGTAATAAGTTCAAATAATAAGCAAGAGTAACTTGCAATTTATTAATAGAAAAGTAGTTATGTACGAGAAAAAGCTGCATAATTTCAACTATAGCTTACTGCTTAAACCCATTGTCATGAAAATAACAGCTCGTAAAGGCCGGTAATGCGGCTGAGCAAATTTATCCCACAAAGATACGATAATTGCAGCAATTCCAAGAATGGAAATCATAGTTAAATACATAATCATAGGCACCAAACGACAATAAAATCCATAATAAATCCATGGAATGAAGGAACCAACAATAAGTAAAGTAATACCAGTATAATCCAATCTGAAATGCGACAAAAACTTAGTAATTAAGTCGATTAGATCCATAAAAAAATCATTTCGATGCTTTTAACTACACTATCTTTTATGTTTATGATGGACATCCAGTTTTTATTCTACCAAAAAATCATCATGAAAAACTCCATTATTTTGTAACATTGGGCAGTTATGGTGGCCAGTGACACCCTTTTTCTGGCCCAGAACTTGGCCTCGCATTGCCTTATATTGATAGAATAAATGTAACTATTTAGTTTTATAAAAATTACAACGTAAAACAAACTTGCTAAATAGCTTCCCAACTTGAACAGAATGGCACTGTACTGTATGGAAGGCAAATGATAATCCCAAACAAGCCACTGCACCAACAAAATATATCCCAAACACAATTTTATCTTCTGACTGCACCAATACTGACGGACGTGTTAAAAACCAGGCTGCAGCTCCAATGAATGCCACACAACCTGGAATTAAATTAATAACAATTTATGTGTTATAACTACTTAATTCAGTATTTGATATAATTTTAAGAAACAGTGTACAAAAAAAAAAGCCTTGGCGATGCAAGCATCCATTATTCATACAAATTACTTAAATCTATTTAATTCATTGTCGAGAACTATCAAAATCTCACAAAAAAACTTTGAAATTAACTAACCGTACATATGAGTCCAGATGTTACCGGTTTCCGTATGTAGGGAAAATATACTTTTGAAGCATGAGCCAAAGCTCGGTAATGGTGGCCTGTGTCCGGTACGCAAATACTCATTATCTTGCAACCATTCTGGAAGTAGCTCAAAATTCGTAGCTTTCCATCGTGCTTCCCAAATCTTAAATCATTTGATTCCTGTGCAAATTGCTTAAGAAGAGTAATGTATTTTAAAAAACATGAAAAATAGGAAGGTAAAAATAAGATGAGATCGGGTAAAGCAGATTTCCACCTTTCTAACAGCAACTCGAGTACCACGCTTAGTATTTTCATTTGGAAGATCTATCTCTTCTTCGTTGATTTTCACCTGAAACCAATATATGATAAGAAAGAGAGAGAAAAGTCCGCCACATACACAAAAAACTTTACTCAGATATTTATTCCAACTTCAAAAGTTTCCAGTAAAGAAATCAATAAATCCATAAATCCCAAAAAATTAACGAATAACATGTTTCTCTCCTATTTGCTGTTTAAATATTTAAAATGTGAAGAAGCATACAGTAAGATCAGCGTCATCATCTTCCGAAACCGGTACCATAACTGGTAAACCACTCGAAATATATGTTACTGTTTTCAATAGCTCTCCTTCTACCGTTTTTTGCTCCTGCGCATACGGCTGAAATGATAACACAGTTTTTCTGCAATAGATTCCTCTCTTCCCCAATTAACGCTAGTTACGGAAATATGAGAATCGCTTTTGCAGAGATATGTATATCTCTAGATATATTGATACATAAATTATACATAAAATCCACTTATATTTATATTTGAATTACACGCTCAGCTATCACACTTCGTAATATTTCTGTAACAAAATGACCAAATCTTCCAGAAAAAAAATCAATTTCACGGAATGAGAAGCAAAAACAGTAACCGAGAAGTCACTGTTTTCGACAGCAGATGTTCGCGCACGACCACCACCAGCATTTGGTACTGAAAAAGCCCGTCTGTGACCACAATTAAATTTTTGCATGCGTTTCTTCGCTTCAGTGATTGAACCCTTCATTTCTAGTAACCTAGAAAGTGCAATTCCAGGTGACTTGAATAATGAAACAAAAAAATGAAGGAAAATCTTGTTTTCAACTGCGTGAAAAAGAGCTGATGCAAATAAACTAGCAATGTTTAACTTTGACCTCTAACTAGAATATAGTACTATCATAGCAAAACTGTTTCAGCATTACCCAACAACAAATACGATTAGGTCAAGTGTCTCGACAACATATCATCATCAAGCTTATCAAAACCAAACTCTCGAAATGTTTAATGGTAGGGTGGAAGACAGTGGCAGAGATAGGAGCGAGGAGTGTGGCAATATAAAACGATGGGAAGAGAATGATCGCACATTTCAAAAACCTTACTTTCCGTCCCGGTTTTTCCTGTCTTACACTTCATAATTTTCCATGTATACTGAAGTAAAAATCCTGACAACACATAAATTCTGAAGCCGTGATATATGTGCCCACAAAATTAAGTAGTCACCTGTATCAGAAAGTGAATAAAAAGTGCGTATGACACACAATAAATTGTTTAGGTGACGACCCATGTAAACATTACCAAAATATAGTTACACATTAGTATGTGTTAATTCCGATCAGGCATATTCGACACAACCTGAAATGAAGAAAAATAGCGGAAATACATCTCAAGACTTCAAAACCCAAGCGACTTCAGATATTTCACTGAAATATCCCCTACAGCTTCTGCTAGCGAAATGAATGAATTCGCAAGGACATCGACTGGAAGAATCGCAGAATTGTCGAAAAACAGCTTCAGCCATTGATTTCTAAAATTAAGGCCATACAACTCACGGATATTAAATAATACTCCAATCTTGGACGAAATTCAAAGTCCCGACATTAAATACTCCAATCTTGAACGAAATTCAAACTTCAAAAAACTTTGTCTTCCATTTCTTCCTATGTCGCAGAACCAAAGAAACGCTTTTGTTTGATCAGTCAATAAATTTCAGCAAGTGAAACCACTTAAAATTATCTTACCCGAACAGTATACAATAACTGTCCAGAATAAAATTCATTACAAAGATGCGAAATACTCGTTAGGTAACTGAATGAAATCCAAAATTCAACAATAAATGAACTTTTTTCTATACACACTTCAGCAATTGGCATCATATAGTAAAAAAAAGCATTGACAACGTTGAGAGTCATTGCACTAAAGTTAAAGCTCTAAGATACATTGATTGAAATTTTGGAATTCCAGTTATTTTAATTAAAACTCTTCTAATCCTTAACGTTCTTTCCCCTCACCTATAAACAGAACATGATGAGCTTTTCGAGGACTAGGAGAAAAAAACCACGTGATACAGTGCAAACTATGCGTCAAATTAGTCCCGATTTTCGTTTTTCTTTAGAAAGATTTAATGAAAGATATGGGAACTCGGCAACAATGTTGTAAAAAAACTCATGAACCTGTAACAATGAAAAACAGTGATAAAACTTAAAGAAGAGAACAAATGCAGATACAGGATGCGAATTAAATCGGCGGGATAAACAAAATCAGCTTATTCTAATAAGGCTTGATTAAACAACAAAACCTCAGCAGAGGCGAATTCTCGAAAAAAATTAATACTGCAAACACCACATCTCTTCCAGCAAGCAGCTACCTTACTTGTTGTAGTTTGTATATTAAAAATAAGCATGGAAAAAAAACAAGAGAAGGAAACGAAATAAATTTCCTAACTGAAGAAACAATTCGAAGTTATACAGAAATAGCTTTAAAAACAATATTAAACAGCAATGAAGTGACTAGAAAAGCAAAAAAAAAATTAAATTCAAGTATTCGTAAAGCATGTTTGATTTGTAAACAAGAAAATCGAAAAGAAAAACAAAAAGCTAAGGCAGCCCACAGAGCTGAAATAAATGATGATCTAGCTTTAATCGCATGAAAGACTCGAATCAATGTACCACGAAATCTTTGAAAAGCCTCACTTGTAACTACCAACACATTTAATTAAAACTATCAACAACAGGATATGCAGCTAAACCAAATAAAGTGATTCAGCGATTAAACCATATAATAAAACTCTACAGTTAAAAATATAGCAGCAACTAGGCATACGCAGCATGTTATTGGAGAATAAGAGATATGAAGTAGATCAGATAGTTCTTTTTTGGAAGACACAATTATCCAGAATTTTAAAGCTAACGAAGTGAACAAAGTCTTAAAGCTTAGTTTTATGTACATGCATATAAAATGAAGCCTAAGAAAAATATAATCAGTAATTTTATGTACAAACATGCAAGATAAGGCCTAAGAAATATAATCAATTCTTTTCCCTAATGTAAGAACACGGGGACTTCATAAAACAAAATAACTGAAGACCTGATAATGGCAAAATTAAAAATTATAAATGAACAATGAAAGTACTCATAAAAGACGGATTCAAAAACAATAAAAATCTTTTGGAAACCTTTCTTTACAACGCGTGAAACAAATTTCAAAGATGGAATAATTTGGTGTTATTTCCATTAGCAAGAGAAGGAAGTAAAATATTCTTAAACAACTACATAAACTTGAGTTGTTTCCGTCAGTACGCCATTATCTCTTTCACTCGTGGGCTGCTTCTCAATAGTTGTTGTAGTCGAATCACTCTAAAAGACATTGCAAATAGAGTTTTGCTGTAATAAGTAATATGGTGCGCAAGTACTCCTTATACAAAATTTTCGAAAAATAAATCTTTTGTTCCAGCGTTGGTGAACGTTTAAAACTCATAGTCTTTTCAGGAATGGAATTTTTCCTTTGCATCTAACACGAAGGAGTTCGCCAACCTTTACAGAAGAATACTGTCTGGACTCTTTTCGCTTTCCCATGAGGAAGATTACAGAGCATATTCCAGCAGCTAATACAACTAAGGTGGCGGCGCAAATAGCAATTGAGTATTGCAAGCTTCTATCAAACGAAATCCTATTAATATCTTCACGTCTCTTATTCCAGTCCTCCTCGGCACCGATTTCAACAACTAACGTCGAGGACACTCGTGAAAGCACTTCATCGCCTACTTTAAATTCGCAACCATAAATACCACTGTCTGAAGCTCGTGCCTGAAATCAAAACTGTAGAATTTTGAAATTTAAGGACTCAGTTTCTAAATTTAACGCGAAAATAAACATTGTTTCCAAAAGAAAACATTTAAATTGAAATTTAGTTTACTTCACTTAACACCAGCAATTGATTGCCAGCTTCGAAGGCTAGACGTGAAGGAGCTGTACTGGGGTCAATTAAACGACCATCACGTAACCACTGCACTGATACACGAAACTGTTCATTGATTGAGCAATTGAAAATCACCGTCGCTCCGTAATGCACCTTACGATCCTCAAGTTGCGGCCAGACTTTGTTATCTAATAGGTAAATTTTGGAATGCAGTAATTCTATTGGAGCAAAAGTTTAAGTGTCAGAAAAATCAAGGTTTGTAAAGAAATCGAAATTAAAACACAACACAAAGAAATACTCAATTTTATGTGAGTGAAAATTGAATACTATTACTCCTAAGTAAGAGAAAAAAGTTTCATATAAAAACTGCAAGCAAAACACAATTACCATAAACAAGAACGTAAGCCGAACTCTCCACATGTCCGGCTTCATTACTCACACGACACGTATAAATACCCGTATCTGCTAATGACACATTGACCACATATAAATTATCATCATTAGCTTTCACATGTAAACGTCTTTCCACAGCAGCTGGAAATAAATCACCACCATCTTTCATCCATTTAATGATTGGTGGCGGAACGCCTGCAAAAAAATTTAGGAACAAAAATTGTAGCAAAATTTGAAAAGAAAACACATGTAGCATTTTAGCTAAAGCAGAGAAAGATAGACAAAGAGTATTGAAAAAGAGACAGAAAATGAGAGGTCTAAAAAAGAACCCTTTACTACTTGAGAAATTTCGAACTCCAATTTCTTTTTATTTTTTGTTTTTGTCGGGCTCGTTTTAGATCTTTCGAATTTAAAACAAATCCACAAAAATGCTATAAGCTAACCACACAACTACAAAGTCTCTCACAAAAACCACATGAAAATATGTTATTCCACACTTCACAAGGTAAAAACAGACATAAATGCTAACCTTGTGCAGCACACCTTAACCTAGCGCTGCCACCACGAACAATCGATATATTTGATGGTGAATATTCAATTCGTGGTTTTTGCAGGACTATTAACTTCATTCTATAAACAAAAAAAATTATCAAAACCATTGAATAAAAGAAAATTTGTGGTTATAGCTACTTTCGGCTTTGATAGAATGAATGCGTCCGATCTACTAAATTACTAATGCACGAATGAAACTAGTATAAAATTCAAACTTTTACTTTAAAGAATATGCCGATCCGTAATGATTCCGTACAATGCACTGATATTCCGCTTGATCACTAAAATCAATGTCACTAAGTTGCAGTTCACTAAAAAGATATTCCATTGCAAGCCCTGTAACCGTGCCTGAAATTTATACTAAATTATTTTATTCAAGTACTCTTCACGAAAACTAAAAATAATTACAAAATTTACTATTTTTGGCTGATGAATGATTATAAAAGAAAATGGTTGTCGAATCATGCGATAACAGGAGAAACCGTCCATCACGAATAACTTTCCATTTGATATCCAGTGGTGCTGCACCGTAGCCAGTACAATTTAATTTGACCCTGTTTCCTAACAATGCTTTCACTAATGCATTCGGATGATTCAATAATCGAGGACGAGGCGAATCATCAACTAAAAGATATTTCATTCTTAGATCGTAGAATTTCAAAGTTAATAACTTAAATTTATTAAGCATGGAAAGAAATTGAATTGGGAACTAGATCCAGAAATATGAAACATGATCAATTCCCAGCTTTAAACCATACCACATGTCAGATTTGCATCATCAATCACAGCAATATCAATACCACGCAATGCTACCGGGTAGGAACACAACATTGTTACGGTTTTGCGATCCAGTTTGGACAAAAATAGCCAGCGCGAAAACCATTTCAGTTCACAATCACAAACAAGAGATGAAGTATTGATGAAACTGTAATTTAAAAAATAACTTCGAAGAACGAAAAATGAATTATTTCTAATCCAAATATTGTTAATAACTATATGCATTACATTGATTGTCTCATTTATAAACCAACTTACAGTCGTCTCAAATGTAGAGACTCAAAAGCACCATTTTGCACGCTAGCAATAGGATTGTCCGTCAAATCTAGATTTTGTAATGCTGGAAAATTCTCAAAGGCACGTGCTGGAATCATCCGAACTCGATTAGAAGCAAATTTGAGAATCCGCAATGTTGGTAATGAGGTATTTGCAAGAACTGACTCATCTTCAACGCACATTGCCAATCCATTTCCAGACAGATCACTGAAAACATTCAATGAACAAGTTAATGTTGCATTATCAAATATCAAGCTAAAAAAGATAGTTGAAATTTCGCCTAAATTTTTGAAAGTGAAGACTTTCCTGGATTATGTGAAAATAAGTGAATAAGTGCCTGAATGAAATGTAAACTAACAGATAATTTAATTTGTCTAAATCATGCATCGCATTTCGATGGATCGTATCGATTTGATTGTCTGCTAATGAAAGATATTTCAAACGTGAAAGCTTCTTAAAGAGCAACGAAGGAAGTGTACGAAGACGATTTGAAGATAAATCAAGCCACTGAAGGGTCGAGCAGAGAGACCATGCCGACGAATCTATCCATGCTACGTCGTTTGAGCTCAGGTCACTAGAAAGATTCTAATATTTTGAAAAGTAGTTTGATTTCAAAACCTCACAAACTAAAATCCATGAAAATTCAAAGCCAAATAAATTTACATTGCACGTAAGTTTAAAGTAAAAGATACAGAGCTGTAAGCGAGTGCATCCCATATAGCCAACCACCAGTGACTGCCTTCAACTGATTTTCGGCAACATTCAACCTCTGAAGTTGTTCCAAACCCCAGAATGTTCCATCCTCAAGTGTACCCAACAAATTTCGTGCCAGTGACAAATTTTGAAGAGACGTCAATGAACTGAACGTTAGTGCATGCAAAACTGCGAGACGGTTACGACTGAGGTCTCTAAAAATATTTCATTTGTCGAAAAAAACATGACAGCAAAAAGACAAAAAAAGGAATTCCCTTTAAAAAAACAAAAAGGTTTTTAGTTTTACTTCAAAGGAATGAAAATAGAAAATGTGATACGCGTTTGAAATTTATAAATAACGAATTTTTCGTATATATCAATAATATAAAACAAACAAATAAAAATAACGTTTTAGAATTAGAATACAAACCCAAAACTACCATTTCAAAACTCTTACAATTTCAGAAATTCTGTCAGTTTCGAAAAAAAGCAAGACTACTACAGTACTTCTGCATATAGTAAATGTGAAGCAAAAATTTATTCAAATATTTGCTTACAAAAACCGAAGTGCAAACAGTCCATGGAAAGCATTTTTTTCGATGGTTTCAATTTTGTTGCGTGATAACCTCAAAATTCGAAGTGACTGCAGCGATGTAAATGTATTGGAGCGTAATGTTGTCAACAGATTATTGCTGAGATCTCTATAAGAAAATAACATGCACTAAAAGAACTTGAGCAGAACAGTGAAGCTCATGAAAAATTTTAAATTTGAAACTACAGGATATTTTTCTTATTTATTTCATTATGAGAAAACGTTTAGAATTGGCTGAGTGATGGAAAAATTTCATGAAAATGTAAACTCATACAGTTTTGTGACTTTTGCGTTAGCAACTTGCAACACGTGTAAACGTGGGAAATCACGTAAAACATTACGACTCAAATCAACTACGTCAATCTTCGCGATCCGTGAAATATCAATAGTCGTAACTTGCGAAATGTTATTCGCTTTGCTAAAAAAGTTTGAGTTGAATTCATTTTTCCTGCTACTTCTTCACTAGGATATTTCCATGGAAGTAATGGAAAACCTAAATAGAAAACGTTTCACAAACGAAAGATCAATAAAACTTGCAGATCAAGTTTGCGCAAATTTGCCAATGACTCAATTCCAAGCGGAATAGAAGTTAATCGATTCTTCCGAAGCAAGCTGGAAAATATTTAAAGATGTTGAATCAAATTATATCAAATAATATTAGGGAGTAGAGTGGTGCTATTCTTAATGCATAGAGGGAATAGATGCTCTTATTAAGAGTTAAGAAAAGTTCGAAGCAAGATGCAATTACACGCCAGATCCGATTCAACACCAGTCTGTCGTCTGTCATGAAATTCACACCAACTGCATAACTATTTACCCATTAGTTGACTAGGCTGTCTGTTGCTCGAGTCGCTTAATCTTCACCAACTAATTGGCAGTATATTCTATGAATTTTTGCAGTTTTGTAAATTTTCGTAATACGGTAGGATGAACAGGTCAGGTTCCATAAGAAGTTAGAATAACGTAATGCGTAGCTTAGAACACGAAAAACGAGAACAGTACATACAGCGCTTCAAGCTGAGGAGTATGAGCGAAAACAAGTCGTGAAAAACCACCGATCTGATTCTCGCTGAGATCCCTAAAAACACGAAAAATCCATTTCAATAAATGTAAAAGAGTGCAAGTTGGGTAATGAAGATTAATAACTACATTCACTGATAATCAAACAGAAAAAGTAATAATGCAATCAATTTTCGGGAATGTGAGTAAAAACAACAAGAATTTTTTGAATCCATTCTTGCGCTGGTAACATCGAATTTTACGTTACTAATTTCGTTGCTACTGTACATCAAAACTTACAGAGAGATAAGACTGACCAATCCAACGAAAGCAGTAGGTAAGATTTTTTCAATATAATTTCCTTGCAGTTCTCTAAAAAGCAAAATATAATACATTATATTATGACGAGATTGTTCTACAACAACAGTACACCTCTGATGAGATGCATGACCATATCACTCAACCTATTTCCTTGACGAAAAAAATTACACAATTGATTTAGTTATCCCGATACTTGATCCAACATTGTAAATAATCGACTTATATAAAAGTTCCACTTTTGAGATTTAAGCTTGCCAATTTATTTAAATCTTTGTAAAAAGGAGACCTCGTAAAATTCAACCTAGAAATTTAAAAAGTTTAAATTAACACAATAATGTTCATACAGTGTGGTCACCCATGACGGTAGTGAAAAAGGAATATCGGTTAAACCTCGACGACTACAATCTATATGGGTATCCAGGCAATGACATTCTTCAGGACACCGTTCTAGACATATCACTTTCGTTGACAGAAGAAACATCGTTACGCAAACTATCAGCGTCCGATTCTTTTCGTAAAACCATTGCCCCATCACATTAGAACAACCTGTAATTAAACGAATTACAGATGGATGAGTTAAAATATTGAGAAATTCTGAACTTCATCGAAGAAATGGCAAAACAATGAGAAAAAATAAACAAGACCAATAAAATTTTCCTGATAATTTATACTGTGAATTATAAATGAATAAAATTTTCTCAGAAATTTGAAGTAGATTTCAAATTAAAAAATAATGTTAAAATCAAAAATTGCTGATTTACAGTTACTAAATGGAACTTGAAATGTACACCAACTTCTTAACAAGGGCATAGCCAAGTCATCGTTTCATCGACTATTCGTTCTTCATTCTAAGTAATCGTCAAAACGGCATAGCGCTTGGAATTATCTCCCTGGAATTATAATAACTGATAATGTTACATTGCAGTCACCATAAATGATGCAATAATATTGTAATCACAATAAATAATTAGAACTAACAATGTGACGCAAAAAAAATTAATTAGAATTAACAACGTGACGAAAAAAAATTACGAAAACCTTATGTGATACATCACTTATTCATACCCTATTGGTTTGATTTTTGTAACTATTCGATACTGTATGTGAACATATAACATAAATAGAATTGCTGCTTTAGCGACTCACACATTAACATCGGGAATTCTTATCATTTAACACTTTCCTCCTCAAAATTCTCGAAGTATCTTACTATTTTTATTCCCATTTCCCATGATTTCTAAAGGCAAGCTACTGGAAATGCAGATAAAGCTTATGAAATCCATTCAAAATACAAGAGAAATATAAACTATAGAATCCTATTCAAAAAATTTCTATGAAATACTTCACAAAAAATTCCATTAAAGGACTTCATTCCGAAAAACATGTAAACAGGAATCGCTATACAAATGGATTCCATCCCGTCTACTGCTCATCAAGATAAAAACAAAGCAGAAAGACGATAAATGCCAACACAGATCTTAACCGCTCCAGAACTCGTGATATGGCCGTCCATTGCTACAGAGCACGGTTCGGCCCAAAAATGATAAAAAAAAGAGAATTGTCCAGCCGGCAGCATTTCGGTTACAAAATGATTGTTCTTTCGAATTTCGAACTGTCCGACGAAACAATATTCTGAAAGAAATAGCAAAGAATAATAATAGTTCGTATTAACATCTTTGTATTTGGAAAAAATGATAACTTAGAGAAAGAGAGAAATTCAAAAGTGGTAGAGATGAAAATTTATATGTTTGTTTGACTTACTTTTCTACTGATTTATCAGTTAATGGAAATGAATTTGATCATAAAATTATTATGATATCATAATATCAGTTGAGTGGAATAAGGCGGAAGATTGATTTAATGGAATTAGTTGTAAAAATAAGGATATATACTGTACACTTATCTCTCATCTTGAAGACGAGAATTTGCAGGTAACTAAGAAGAAAATACTTGTGTATGAATTGCATCAAGAAATTATGGTTTTTCAGGATGACAATAGTGATATACGGATAGATAGCATAAGCAATCGAATAGACAACTATCTGTCAAAAACTTATTGATCTATTATCTAAGCTATAATTATGAAAGATTGAAAAGAAATGATGTTTGTTAATGCTGTTTAGTGATGTAAAACATATCATTCTTCAAGAGAACAGCAAAAAATCTCCTGGGAAAAGCAAACAAAAAAGAAAAATCTGGAAAATTCTTTCTGATGGAAACATTCACCGATTAATTTTGCAGCAAAATTTCTTTCAAGATATAGGAAGCATTGTGAACTGTCACATATTTATGAGTTCTCCACAACATCGCCATAATTTAACTTTAAGAATCGGAATTAATGCAATGTCATTTTGTTAAAATGTAAAAATTATTGATCAAAGAGTAGAGAAGGAATAAATAAATATAAAGCATTTATATTAAACTTTGTTAATTAGAAATATTAATTCAAATTGTTATAATATAATCGTACTAATTGTTTTCGCCAAAAAAAAAATAAACGAATAATATTGCGATTTCATTTTAGATAATATTGGGATTATTGGATGTTAGGCCTAAAATGCTTTTTGATAACATTTTAGATAATATTGGGATTATAGGGTATTAGACCTAAAATGCTTTTTGATAACATTTAAAATTTTGTTTCTTTTTTTAAATTTCTTTTTGTTAACTAAGAAGTATTGATTTTCTTAATTTTTCTTTTTGTATAATATTTTTTTAAAAATTCTGATATTCAATCAATATTTTAATGATAACAATATCCCAAATATGTCGTAAAATCGTAGATATTTTATAATTTGCAGGAATTCTTTCATATGAGCATCATTTAATATTTGCAGAAAATTCACAATTGTAGTAATATTTGAATAATTGGAATTGAAAGAATTAATTCCTTTCTTTACCTTTTTGTTATAAGCAACAAAGAAAGAATAAAAACTTATTGAGGTAAAGATTGTTAATTAATAAGCTTTTTTTGTCTCGAATATTTTTATCAGTAAATTATGATAAAATTTTGCCAATAGAAAAATATTTTATATGAAAAAAGAAACAAAACTTTTATTAGCTAGAAAATAATTAATTAGTCGTTCAAATGACTGATAAAAGTATGCTTTAATCAGTTTGCTTGAATTAGAAATTTATTTAATTATGCAATAATATGAAAATTAAAATGATTTAAGCAATGAATAAGCAATTAGTTACAGCGAAAAGGTAAGAAAAAGGTAAAAAGATTCTTATAATACTTATAAATTAATTTTTCATCACTATTTTAATGACTAATTTTACTACAATTATCTTTTTTTAAATTACATCTGTAAACTTAATATGATATTGAATAAATGACCGGTTAACACTTTAATAGCATGAATGACACTTTAGTAGCATAAATTAATTATACCAATAAAATAGAACAAATTCACTTATGACTTTTACGAGCCTCAAATGTTTGCATTTATCACATGAAAGGAAAACTCTTTGTGTTGCATATTTCACATACGAAAAATTTCGCCATGATAACGAGCTAAATATTAGCATAAATTAGCTTACAGTTATTGAAAAAGCAGTAATAATGACAGAAGTGTATGTTGCAGTATTGTGACTTCTCATCTTATTGAATTTAATTTAATTCAATTTAATTCATTACTGAATAATAACATTTAAGGCCTGAATTATGGATTCATTTATTGGAGAAAAAATTATCACACTATTTTTGATTATTTCATTATAAATATCATTTATTCTGAGCTATCATAATATTTGAAATAAACAAAATTCAATCATATGAGATTTAATTTAATTTGATTGAAGACTGGTTTAGATCATTAACAACGGCAAGCTTTTGTTTTAAGTTGTTTAATTGTTTGAAGCTGTTAAGAATTTCTTCAGTTTTAAAAATTGCAATTGGCATAATTTTTTGTTCCTCATTTCTTCCTTTTTCAACTTTTTTGATTAATTCATTTAAATTAGAAATGAATGGAAAAAGAATAAATAATTCTTAAAGTAATAATTTGTGTAATAATCATTTCTGGTTGGTAACAACATTTTAATGAAGCATTAAATGAAAATTGTTTATAATAAAATTTAATAATTTGAAGCATATGCTAATAATTAATATAAAATTAAACGAAAAGAAATTCTTTTTATTTTTATATTTGGAAGTTTTAAATTTTCAATAATGCATATATTTCAAAAACTTTTTTACATTGATAAATTCATTTTCCTTTCATTTGCTCAAGCAAATAATTGACAGTTTTTGATTTAAGCTTTAGCGATTGAAAATTCACAATAGTATAAATTGTATCAAACTTAAAGACTAAAAGAAAATAATGAATTCATACTACTATATTAACCTATTATCTGCTTAAGTTCAAAATCAGAATATTATCAATTCCATAATGGGAACTAACAGAAACGAAATAGCTTAACAATTATAAGTAGTAAAGTTTGTTGTTTGGCATTGTATGCTACAATTTGATTATAAAAATAATAAACATACCATATTATTTATTCCAATATTATGTTTATAATATTTGAAATTAATTTAACGTAAAAAGTATGAGTGTAAGCAATATATTGAAATTACTTCACAATGATACGGATACTTTCATTTCTGATTGTTATTATATCAACCATTGATAATTAAATGTGTCATAGAAGTTATGATAGCATTTCAGATAAAGAATCGCTCAACATTTATTACGTAATAAGCAAGTAAACAACATTAACACGTTTACACGTGTTAATTCTAATTAATGTTGCAATAATATTTGAAAACAGAAGTTGAAGGAGTCACGGATCAGTTGAATAAACGTAAACACTTACTAGCCTTCAGAATTCGACCACTTTCTAAACATTTTTCTTTCAGGCAATCATATCCTTTTTTAGTAAAACATCGAATAGCTTTCAATTATAATTCGCATAAGTAAAAAGGCAAAGTTATTCAGTAATTAAAAAAATTCCTTTGTATTCATAAATATGATTACTGTAGTATTTAATTACAAATTGATAAATCTATAAAGCACTATGAATGCATAAAAGGTTAACAATCAATGTTGAAAACGGTTGTAATCATTTGATTAATAAAGTGCATTGACTGATAGATTGAAAACAATCTGATCATTTAATCTTTTTTAAAATTTATTGGTGAATGCATTTAGTGATAAGGATCAAGAAATATTAACTTATTTAGTGATAAAAATCAAGAAATATTAATTCATTTAATATTCCTTGATTCTTATCACTGAATGCATTTACTAATAAATTGATATTAAGTCTAATCTTTTCATTATCATCGAAATATTTGTTCACGACAGCTAAAAACATCAGTCATACTTTCGATTCTTCTGTTTTCTCAATATCTGACAGCTATTCTTCGGAAACAAATTTGCAAATGTATTTCAAGAAACAAATTTACCACTTCTATTGCTAATTGTTTCTATTCTAATAAGACTTTTAATTAATTAAAATATTTCCTAACGTCGAAAATGTATCTTAATTAGCTCATTGTTAGCAAATTTTCAAATATGTATTTGTTGC